TAATTATTCTTTTCGCATTCTATAGCTAGAACTATTTCTTTTACAAATATACGTATATAACCTATGGCTGTTTTTCACAAATGTTTCATCGCTGAGTAATAATGGAGATTTTAGACAATTTTCGTTAAACATTTTTATTAAACCCGCGTCACAATTTTCTGTTTGATATATTAAATAGCTCGATTCGTTTCTCTTACAACTTTATATTCTTCTATAGTGCTACATTTTTCTAAGTCTGTCTTGTCAATCGGTACGTATTCAGTTTTCGTTTGTAAAATGTATGGTTTGCTTTGTCATCGTTCGTTTCTTCTCAAATTGTCTTTAGTAAGTAAGTAAGTACTCAAATACTTAATCGCATTGTCATTGTCCATATCGTCATACTTTGTTTCTCTTCTTACATTAATATTATACCATCTGATCCTTTTGGTACGTTCGTTTCTTCATAATATCTTTGCTCTTCTTTATCTTCTTTAAATCGTGTAGACATATAATTCGCATCTTCCGTTAAAGTCTTCAACATTTACTGTAATGCTGGTCCATTTCGTCATATTTATTTCTTTTGTTTATTAATATCCTATTCGTCGTAATATTCTTCATATCGTGTTGATCTATTTTGTTATATTTGTTTTCTTGATTCATTTATATTTCATCATATAGTCCTACTGGAATGTCCTATTCGTCATAATATTCTTGATACCTTTTTGATTCATTTCGTTATATATTTTTTTTATTGATTCATAGTTTATCATTCAGTCCTACTTAAATATCCGAGTCGTCATATTATTATCCTATTGGTTCATTTCGTCATAATTATCCTATTCGTCATAATATTATTTATACTTTGTTTTCTTCTATGTTTCTATATTTGTAATCAATATTTCTTTTATCCTTGTACGTTCAAATTTTCGTCGTAAAATTAACTATCCTTTTCTTTGTACTACTTTACATCTCTTTAATCGTATTTCATTTGCGTTATCATTATCTATTTAAGGTATTTCGTTTAATTGTACTATTTCTGATTGCTTCCATTTATTTTAATCGTTGACATAAATCACATGTTTTGATAAAGTCTTCAACATCTTTTGTAATGTTGGGCCAGTTTGTCATATTTCTTATCTTCTGTACTGTAATATCCTTAGAATAGTGTCCTCCTAATATTCCTTTATGTGCTTCTGCTATAATTTTTCTTCTATTTCTTTCAATGTGTTTCTTTATCAAATATATTTCCTTATCACCGCCTTTCCATATTTCACAAAGAATTCTTGATATTTTGTTTTCATCTATATCTTCGTAAATAATTCTTAATCTTTCTTCTCTAGTTTCTTTTTCTAAAAATTCTGTTAATTGCTGATTTCTCACCTGAGGACTAATTTTTATTTTGTCATCTTCTTCTGTTTTTTCTTTCGTGATCCAAATTTCTTTTATCCTTGTCGGTCCAAATTCTCGTCTTATGATTAACTGTCCGGTTTCTTCTATTTTGTTTCTTTTTAATCGCATTTTATTCGCGTCATCATTTTCATTTTGAGGTATATCTCTTATCCATTGTACTTCTTTAGTATCTGTAGTCAATTTTATATTCTTTATTACTTTGAATTCATCTTTAATTATTTTATGATCACTTTCTTCTGTTTGTGAATCTATTTCCATATTTTCGTTTTTATTTTCGTCATCAATTATTGAATTGTCGTCTTCTGTTTGCGTATCTATTTCCATGTTCTTATTTTTTTTGTTTACACCTGTAGTAGGCCAGTTCTGCTGTTCTAACGTGTCATTTGTACCATCTGTTGTCATCTGAACCCTTGGAATTAGCGATAAGGCGTCAGCGTTTGTGTTAGCAATTCCTTTCTTATAAATAATTTTATAATCATATTTTGTAATTGCTGAATATCTTCCTTTAAAATTAGTAAAACAGATTTTATCTCTCTTGTTTGCACTAGATTGCGGATAAAGTATTTTAGGTCCTAATTTTAAAATACCTTTTTGTAAATCCATTTTAAATTTTTGATCGTAAAGTAAATTCATTCCAATTAAACCGTTTTCTCTAAATGCATTTTCATCTTTTGTAACTTGAAAAACTGATTCTTTACCGTAAAGTTTTAAACAAATAGAATATTCGAACATTATAGGATTGTTTTCGATTGTTAAAACATTATGAGGCGCGTATTTTTTAAAGTTTTTCCCTTCTATCATACTTTCTTTTATAATTGATATATTTGATCCTGTATCAACTACAAATTTTCCTGATGCTAACTTATCAAATTTTAAAGCCACAATAGGTGTGTCGTGTCTTCTTCGTTCTCTTGGTATCGGTGGAAAGTCGTGCTTAGCGGGTTCTCCGATAAAGAAAATTCTTCGCTTAGCTGCACTCGGTCTGGTGGTTTGGTGTTGATTGGTCGTGACTGAAAATTTTGAGTTTTTTCTTGACGTGGTGGTAAACCTTTTAATTTTCCTCTACAAACATCCTCTGTATGTCCTAAATTTTTACAATGGTTGCATTTTTCTAAATTTCTCGGTTTGCTAAATCTTGGTGTTGGTACTGGGTTTTCATTTCTTGGGTTTCTGGTAAAATTGTCAATTCTTCTTTTATCTTTCAAATTCACGTTAATTTCTGAGGCAATATTAAAACATTCATTCAGCGTTTTCGGTTTCTGAGGACGGATTCTAATTTCAAATTCTTCACGTATATTTCTTAAGAATGTGCTGACACTTGCATTTGTTTCTATTTCCTGTCTTACGAAAGTTTCTTGAGGTGTTATATTCATACTATCTATAGACTGCCTGATTTTATCCTGACACTGCATAAATCTTGAGGTGAATGACTCTAAACCTTCATTTTTGCCCATTATACATGAATCGCGAGCCCTTTGAAGTGATTCTAAACTATCTTTTTCTCCAAATAAAATTCTTAATCTCTCAAAAAAATCGGCAAAGGTTTTAACTGCATCTGCTCTAATTGTATTTGCTGCTCTTCCTACTAATTTTTGTGCAATTATTGCATGCAGTAATGTTAATCTTTCATTTCTTTTCGTTTTTCTTTTAGATAATCTTATTAGATGAATGAAATTTTCTAAACCGCTTCCGTTAAATTCTGGTACTAATTTTATGCTTTTCCCAAAATCATATTCTGTAACTTCTTCTAATTCTTCGTGATCGCTATTTAATTCGTTTTCATTTAAGGGTAAACCTTCCTCTCTTCTAACTGGTTGTTCCATCGCTACTAATCTCGTTTCGAATCTCTCCATTTTTGCAAGAATATTTTGCAAATGGTCATTTGAAGCACTTGATGTTTCTGGCATGATGTTTAGAATATTGTCTAATTTTAGTCTGTCAGTCAGTGATATTGAAAGGGATGAACTGTCTGTGTCTATTGTTTCGTTTTCCCTACTTTCTCTATATGAATTTAAATCCAGTTTAATTTTATAAATTTCCTATATCGTTTCGTACAATTTTATTTTATATCCGTTCGCGTTTTCTAATTTAAAATTTCATTTCTTGCAATCCTGCTACAAGGAGTACACAAGAATATGAAATTCGTTTTTTTTTTGTTTATTGTCGATGGCAATACTCATAAAATCACGGAGTATACCAACGCTTTAAAACAAACTTAGCCACACCCTATGAAGGTCGCCGTTCAACGTACGTAAAGTGGACTTATACTCTTGTTCTAAAGATTCGTAATTTTTTTTATATACCTTACTGTTGGTCTGGATCGTAGTTCTGGATAATCTCGAACTCTGCTTCGTAGATTTGGATAACTCTCTGGATACCTCTGTAGATCTGGATAACTCTGGATACCTCTCTGTAGATCTGGATAACTCTCTGGATTCCTCTCTGTAGATCTGGATAACTCTCTGGATATCACTCTGTAGATCTGGATCACTCTGTAGATCTCTGCTTTTTCTTTACTTTCTCGTTCACTTTAGATAATCACTTTGTTTATCTGGAACTAACTCTGGGTTCTGGATACTCAAAATCTGGATGAACTTCCAAAATTTTTTGAATATCCTAGCGCTGCCACCAATTATGTTGTCGCCGTAAGAAACAACTAATATTATTATTTTTGGTGAGTTGGTTACTCAACTGAGAGCCAACTCTACTTTATTTATTTAACAAGTAAAAGTACAAAAACTTGGAGATAATCAATCCTTCCAATTCTTCACTGAGCCTTATTGGAAGACAAACGTGCTATCACTTTGAGTAGCGACTAATTAATCTGACCACACCTGCTTATGCTTTAGTTTTAAAGGACTGTGAACTCGTCCCCACTCTTTACAATACACACTCATACTTCATACTGTCGACAAGATGATCAATTATATTATGAGTTATACAGAATTGCAGTTTTTGCAAATGAAGTAGCTCGTCCTCATCTTTGCGCATTTTAAACACATAGTGGCCGACCTTGACAGTAAGTAACATTACCGAATTGGTGTAACTTTAAGAAATACGTTTCGGGATTCGATTTTTTACTTTGTTTTTCTTTCAACCATGAGTCCCACAAATTTTCTGCATACTTGCCTTGACAATTCAATTTGTTTTTTATCTTTTATTAATAGTTTTTCACATTATGCACAAAACTTTTTTTGAGCTTTTTTTGTACCGACGTCACAGAAAACACAATTTTCGATCCTACGAAAATGTAATTGAACAAAAAGTTAGGTTTTACTAAGACAAGCTTCGACAAATATGCGCGTAGGTGGCGCTAGTGAACTTGACAAAAAAACGCGAATGGCCTACCTAGACAGTGGTCCAACCTCGACTATACTCCCCTATTATTGATATTCCCGGTGGATTTTGGATTCAAAGAGACGGATTCTCAATAGATGATTTACTGATAAATTTTTTTAATTTTTTTAAAGAATTTTTTAAACCACTGATATTAATATTATTATTAAAGCATATTGTAAAAGAAAATTATTAACAATTTTTCGAAATTTAAGTATATTGTTTTTTGTTTGTTGAGTAAAAATTACAAAAAAATAAATTGTTTTCTGTTTCAGAAAGTTGAAAATTATCAAGAGTTTGAATTAGAATTTGATATCCCACTGGAATGGGTGGATTTAAATACAAATTTGGACCACATGAGAAGTTTCTTAGTTTTGGCTGCAAGTTGTAAAAAATTTAATCTGTTTAGAGAAGAAAACCAAACAGTAATGTTTAAATATCGACGAACCTTCGCTGAAGTTATTCAAAATGGAGAAAGAAAATTCTATATGAGGAAAAGGCAGGATTTAAACAGCATTGGAATACAAGCTGCGTGTGACCAAATGGGCACAGATTTCATCTATTGGAAATTAAGCGCCGAAGAGGATTTAGACAGTGAGGGAGAATCAGTAGAAATGAGTGTATCTTACGAGGAGGATGAGAATGCAGGAGAGGTTGACGCGGATAAGAATGAGGGAGAGGAAGAGAAGGTTGGTGTGCTTGAGAGTGAGGAAGATGTAGGGGTGGATGTGGAGTATGAGAGTGAGGGAAAGGAAGACGTGGACGTGGAGCATGAGAGTGAGGGAGAGGAAAAGAAGGTTGGTGTGCTTGAGAGTGAGGGAGAGATAGGGGTGGACGTGGAGCATGAGAGTGAGGAAGAGATAGAGGTGGACGTGGATCATGAGAGTGATGGAGAGATAGGGGTAGACGTGGAGCATGAGAGTGAGATGGACGTCGATGTGAGAGAAAAAGAGGGGGGAGAGCATAAGATGATAATGGGAGAGAAAAAAGGTGAATAATCTTTTGAATTGTGATGGATTATATTTTTAAATTTTTTATATAATTTGTACTTAAAAGAAATAATTTTTCATATGTAAATGTAGTCAAAAATCTGTTTGGATTTTAGATTTTTATCTGTTTTACGTACATTTTTTTATATTGTAACTCTTATAAAATTTGTACGAAGAAATAAAAACCAAAATTACATTTGACTGAATTTTTTTATCACAGTTTTTATCAAAAGAATTTCTTATTGAATCAAATTTTTTAAATTAACAGAATTTCAATTTTTTCTAAAAAAATATTTGTACAACTTTTTGGATTTTAAAAGTGGAGAAGTGAAACTGTGACTGGAAATCTTTCTGTTACACTTTTTTTTCTTGAGTGGTACTCTAATCATTATTTGTTTCTTACATTTTTTTAAACGACAATCTAATCATTATATACATAAGAAAAAAATGTTTTCAATTTTAGACGAGTACTCTTCTTTTGCAGTAATTTTCCCTCTTACATATGGAAATTAAAGTTTTTCTTTCTAATTCAGAGGATTTTTCCATTTTATATATATATATATATATATATATATAATTTTTTTCTATTATAATGTCACTTTTAAACAGTTTGAAGCTGCGTTCAGAAAAACAAAAACAACTTAAAAATCTTCTTTCTAGTACAAATTTGTTTCAATTTGAGAGGAATAGTTTCAATCAAAAAAGAAAAAAATTAAAATACATCTTTAAGTTGAAAAACTTTCAAATAAAAACAAAAATTCCTCGTTTTGTAGATGAACATTTTTTATATTGAAAAAATATGTAAAAATAATTGTTAAGCGGAATTTCCTTCTCACTTTGAGATTTTATTTTTTTCGGTGTAGAAGGGGATAAAGATCTTCTGACCGAACTAAGTCAACCTACAGTTTCTCTTGAAATTTGTCCCCTCCCTCATTAAATCTTTTCGTAATATACATGTCAGTAGAGCGAGATTGACCTTATTAGAAGCACGCATTAAAATTTGTGTCAATAAAAAAAGGTGCGGTAAATTTTTCAAAGAAGTGTTTTTTGTTTTCTTGATGTTTATTAGAAAAAATTTCAAATTGTTTAAAAATTTATTGTTAACATAATTTATTATTTTTTTAAAAAGTTTCTTTATTTTTTTTAATAATAATTTTTTATTCTGCTCTATAAAATAATACATTTTTTTGTAGCAGAATTATTGATATTAATATATTATTATAATAATTATTAGTTACAAATACTATTGATTATTGAAATAAATTAATTTTTTTTAATTTTTAAAATAATTAACAAAGTAATAAAAAAAATTTTTTATTGTTTATTTTAATTAATTTTTATAATGTTATTAATTGCAGCACGTTTTTGCTTGTAATTGGAAATAATAAACAAGAAAAATGTGAAAAAAACTTTTTTAAAAAATAAAGAACGATGCTGAAAAATGGTCAAAATTTGCCCCCTAAGGGGATTGTAAAAGAAGTATATGTTTTTATAGATTTTGACCTGCTGAATCCGAAAATCAACCCTAGAAAGTTCTGAACCTTGGGGAAAGGGTTGAAAAACCACCCTTAACTCACAGACACCGTTTTCAATAAACAACAGTAAAATATGATAAAATTATTAAATAAGAAATGTTTACACTATAATTTAATAAATTAAGGTACTTAACAGTAATAACAAACGCATAATTTAAATTACGATTACGACCCTTGCAGTTTAAAAAACTACCCCTCATACATCAACACTTATGCCAAACCCCCAAAAAGGTATAAAACGTCAATATATTGATACATAACAAAGCAATAATAATTAATCCTTTAAAAATAAACAACGTTTACCACTACTGCAGAAATATCGGCCACCCCTAAATATGTTAAAAACCACCCCTAAACAACCAAACCCGAAAAAAAAAATTAAAATGTCATGGACTAAGATTCTAATGTTTTTGTTAAAGAGTTATCCCTGCCAATAACAAATACGCAACTATTGTTACATCTACCATTAACTCAACAACCCTTAATCATGATCAGAAACTACCCCTATATGATCCTTAAAAAATTTACCTCCGAAGTTACAAATTAAAAACCAAATTATTTTACTATTTATGACACTTTAAATAATCAAATCAATTATTATAAGGGTTATCATGTCCAACCACTGAATGTAAGATACATTGTTGTCCAATCAATGAACATCAGAGTTATGAGGTCCAACCACTGAAGGTAAGAAACATTGTTGACCACTCAATGAAGATCAGTGTTATCAGGTCCGACCACTGAAGGTAAGAAACATTGTGGACCACTCAATGAAGATTAATGTTATAAGGTCCAACCACTGGAGGTGAGAAACATTGTCCAGTCAATGAAGATCAGGGTTATCAGATCAAACCACTAAAGGTAAGATACATTGTTGTCCAATCAATAAAGATCAGGGTTATGGGATCCAACCACTGAAGGTAACAAACATTGTTGACCAATCAATGAAGATTAGAGTTATCAGGTCCAACCACTGAAGGTAAGAAACATTGTTGACCACTCAATGAAGATCAGTGTTATCAGGTCCAACCACTGGAGGTGAGAAACATTGTTGTCCAATCAATGAAGATCAGGGTTATCAGGTCCAACCACTGAAGGTAAGAACCATTGTTGACCAATCAATAAAGATAAGTTTTATCAGGTCCAACCACTGAAGGTAAGAAACATTGTTGTCCAATCAATCAGTGGTTGGACCTGATAACCCTGATCTTCTTTAATTAGTCAACAATGTTTCTTACCTTCAGTTGTTGGATCCCATAACCCTGATCTTCATTGATTGGACAACAATGTTTCTTATCTTCAGTGGTTGGACCTGATAACACTGATCTTCATTGAGTGGTCAACAATGTTTCTTACCTTCAGTGGTTGGACCTGATAACTCTTATCTTTATTGATTGGACAAGAATGTATCTTACCTTTAGTGGTTGGACCTGATAACCCTTATATTTATTGATTGGACTACAATGTTTCTTATCTTCAGTGGTTTTATCTGATAAACTCTGATCTTTATTAATTGGACTACCAAAGACTGTACCTTCAAGGTTGGAATATTTTATGTGTTTTCTTTATTGATTGCAATAAATTGATTATCACCATATCAAACATTTATTTAAAGTGTCATAAATAGCAAAATAATTTGGTTTTTAATTTGTAACTTCGGAGGTAATTTTTTAGGGATGATAAAGGGGTAGTTTCTGATCATGATTAAGAGTTGTTGAGTTAATGGTAGATGTAACAATAGTTGCTTATTTGTTATTGGTAGGGATAACTCTTTAACAAAAACATTAGAATCTTAGTCCATGACATTTTAAGTTTTTTTTCGTTTTTGGTTGTTTAGGGGTGGTTTTTTTAAGATATTTAGGGGTGGCCGATATGTTTTCAGTAGTGGTAAACGTTGTTTATTTTTAAAGGATTAATTATTGCTTTGTTATGTATCAATATATTGGCGTTTTATATCTTTTTGGGGTTTTGGCATAAGTGTTAATGTATGAGGGGGTAGTTTTTTAAACTGCAAGGGTCGTAATCGTGATTTAAATTATGCGGTTGTTATTACTGTTAAGTACCTTAATTTATTAAATTATAGTGTAAACATTTCTTATTTAATAATTTTATCATATTTTACTGTTGTTTATTGAAAACGGTGTCTCTGAGTTAAAGGTGGTTTTTCAACCCTTTCCCCAAGGTTTAGAACTTTCTAAGGGTGATGTTCGGATTCAGCAGGTCAAAATCTATAAAAACATATACTTCTTTTAGAATCCCCTTCGGGGCCAAATTTTGACCATTTTTCAGCATCGTTCTTTATTAACAATAAATTTTAAACAATTCACGGTGAGCCTGAACCAGACTCAACCCAAAAGTCTTTGCGCAGTAACTTTTTGTTTTTGCTGTAAAAGTATAAGCAAAATAGAAGCCTTTCCTGTAAAAATTAAAACAATTGTCGGAGCCGTTTTTTAGAAATGTCCATTTGAATTTGGGCGATCGAAATTTCTTTACACATTATAATATGTGGACGTTCACATGAAAAGGGCCCATTTTGGCACTATTGGAGTTATCTATATGGGCGTATTCCTGGCAAAATTTGGAGAATTTTGAGTGGTCTTAGAACTTTTTTGGTTGAAAATTCGCTGAGTTACGGAATTTCAAAGTTTAGAACTCCAAAAACCTCATTTCGAGAAAAACGTAATTAAAGATTGCGATACCAACTAATTGTTGTATTTCTGGTTCTTCTTGGAAGTTATTCAGATAAGAATTGTTTCCAGTTCAGGGCACTTTGAAGATAGAGAACCAACAGGTTTTAAATTTTTAGAACCACCCCCTCCCCTTAATTTTGAAAATACGAAAAACCGACAATATGGGCCCTTTTCTAAAAAGGACAGTTTTTCTATTAAAAAACCATTTTTTTACAAGATTAATGATTGAATATAATTTTATTCTGTCATTTGAAGAAAAAGAATAGATATTAAACGTATTTAAAATTTTTTGACAGTCTCTATTATGAAAAAATTGACGCAATATCCAAATTTTCATTTTGACAATTACGAAAAAAATGACTCTAACATCAATATCTCTGATTATTCTGGGAAGTTATTCAGATTAGAATTGTTTACAGTCCAGGGTATCTAGAAGATTAAAAACAAATAGGTTTTAAATTTTTAAAACCACCCCCCCCCTCTTAATTTTGAAAATACAAAAATCGATAATATGGGCCCTTTTCTAAAGAGGACAGTTTTTCTATTAAAAAACCATTTTTTTACAAGATTTATGATTAGGTTAAATTTTATTGTGACATTTGAAGAATAAAATTTAACCTAATCATTAATCTTGTAAAAAAGTGGTTTTTTAATAGAAAAACTGTCCATTTTAGAAAAGGGCCCATATTGTCGGTTTTTCGTATTTTCAAAATTAAGGGGAGGGGGTGGTTCTAAAAATTTTAAACATGATGGTTTTTTATCTTCAAGGTGCCCTAAACTGGAAACAATTCTTATCTGAATAACTTCTAAGAAGAA